AAAAATGGAAGTATAGATATTGGTCTATAATTCATTAGATCATCTGGATCCAGAGACGGTTTCTTAAGTAGAGGTTTAATTACAGCATCCTTAAAATCCTGTGGTACGTATCCATTTACTAAGGATAGCTAGATTATATCTAGAATGGGGCAGTAACCAAAGGAAATGCATCTTTAAATAATTTGGTTGGGGTTAGATCTAAGATGCAAGTTAAAGGTTTAGATCAGTGGTCCTCAACAGGCAGCCCACGGGGCCTCCTCTTTGTGGCCCCTGAACCTTGCACACCCTTCTCCCCAGGACGACGGGCGAACGGAAGGTGTGCTGTCATATAGAAGGCTGGTGTAATGAACAGCCACCAGCAACACGAGAGCAGAAAATCACCCCCCGGTTCGGACCTCTTGCTTCTGGGTTTTTACTTGATTGGCCCTCGGACCATTATAATTGAGGACCCCTGATTTAGATTAAACTAATATTTTTGATAACTCTGAAAGCTCAACTGGATCAAAACGGTTCAAGCACAGATGAGGTTCTACAGTCACCTCTGATGCTGCCTCACTTACTGAGGAAGAAGAAATCACATTAGGGAGGATGCTAATGATTTTGTTTCTAATTGAATTCATTTTACTCGTGAAAAATCCCATAAAGTTGTTGCTGCTGAGGGCTAAGGGAATATATGGTTCAGAGCTATGGTTCTTTGTAAGTTTGGCAACTGTACTGAAAAGCAATTTAGGATTCTTCTTATTTTTTCTCAATCAGCGATGAAAAATATGCAGTTCTAGCTTGCCAATGCTTATTTTTATACAGCACAAGACTATTTTTCCAGGATAAGTAGGACTCCTCCTGTGTGTAGAGCTCCATGTTCTCCTCAATTTTCTAGAGTTTTGTTTTAAAGTTCGTAAATGAGAATAAAACCAGGGAGCCAACTTCCTGTCCCTAATTACCTTCTTTTTTAAAGGTGCAACATCATCTAATGCCACACATAAAGACAAAGTAACAGTATGAACTAAAGCATCAATTTGTGAAGGCTAGAAATAAAAATATTGCCCCCTGCTATGTTCCTCTGCGATGCTGAGGACGGTAAAGATGGAACAGTTGATTTAAAAGATGCAACAGCATTGTCAGATAGAGACCGACTAGTGAAATTTACTTTCATGTCTCAAGAACTCAGTTATAAAAACTCAAAGGTTATCAAAAAGTGGTCAGAGAGGACTGAATTATGTGGAAATATCATTATTTCCTCACACTCTATGCCATAAGTCAGCACAAGGTCTAATGTTTGATGGCAGGAGTGGGCGGAGTTATGTATTCTTTGGGTAAAATCAATTGAGTCTAAGATATTACTAAAGGCTACATTGAGGCTATCATTTTCAATGTCCACATGAATGTTAAAATCTCCCACTACAATAACCTTATCAGTATTTAGCACCAAATCAGATAAAAAAAATCAGAGATCTGATCCAAAAACTCAGAGTAAGGGCCTGGTGGACGATATAAAACTACAAACAAGAGTGGTTTTACAGTTTTGCAATCTGGATTAGGAAAACTAAGAATAAGATATTCAAAAGAAGTGTAACTATTAATTGGTAAGGGATTGATTAATAGGTCTGAATGAAAAATGATTGCTACTCCTCCTCCTCGCCCTGTACTTTGAGCAATATGATGATTTGAATAATTAGAATGAGTCGACTCATTTAAGCTAACATAGTCCTCTTGCTGCAGCCAGGATTCTGTGAGAGAGAGCAAAGAGATCTGATTATCACAAATAAAGTCATTAACTAACAAAGCCTTAGAAAACATAGACCTAATGTTCAACAACCCACATTTAATTTTTCTAGTTTTCTGCTCAGTTGAATTTGTTCTAATATTTATGAGATTTCCATGATTTACTTTATTAAGCCTGATATTTCATCTGTGTGATTTTGGCCGTGGGCAGGACACTGTCTCAATGGGGTAGCGGGTTTGTAACAGTGCTGAAGCTGCAGAGGGGTGTGTTAAACTACGACTCTGCTTCCTGGTCTGGACCCTGGGGTGTCATGGAGGACTAATAAGATTTGCCATGTTCCTAGAAAGAAGAGATGCTCCATCCAAAGAGGGATAGATGCCGTCTCTTCGCATCAGACCAGGTTTTCCCCAAAAAGTTTTCCAATTATCAATGTAGCCCACGTTGTTTCAGGACATCACCTAGACAACTAGCGGTTGGACAGCATGCGGCTAAACATGTCATCACTGGTCCGATCAGGCAGGGGGCCAGAGAAAATACGGAGTCTGACATTGTTTTGGCAAACTTACACACCGAAGCAACATTAATGTTAGTGACCCTAACCGCCAGTGTCCACCAACAGTTTCGGGGCTTGCCACCACGACAGGCATCAATGACACTGTAGCTGCCTTGAAAATGGAAGCACGGAACATTGCCCACTGGGACACAGTGTTTCTCGCTTCTTTCTGGACATGTTCTAAATGCTGTCCAAGGTGGGAATTGAAGCTACTTTTTACAGGAGACTCCAGATGTTCCCAGCAGACTCTTACAATTTGTTTAGGCCTGCCAGGACTGACTGGCATTCTCCTCCATCATCGAAGCCAATTCACCAGCAGATAGTGCTCAGATGACAGCTTCACCCCTTTATTCACTTGAGTGTCCAAGACATGCAATCGCAGATCAGATGAGATGACAACAAAGTCAATCATTGAGCTGCGGCCTAAAGTCTCCTGGTGCCAAGAGCAAATATGGACATTTTTATTCCTGAACGCTGTGTTCATTATGGACAATCCATGACAAGGGTAGTCTGAGCTACAGTTCGGTGCATAAGCACAAACCAGTCAGGAACTGTCCCTCCACATGTAGCCAGAGGGAGGCTACCCTCTAATTCACTGGGGTAAACCCAAAAAGTACAGGTACCAAGATGGGGCAACAAGTATGCCCACCCCTGGTTGGCGCCTCTCAGTGGGAGTCACTCCAGCATGGTAAAAAGTCCAACCCCTCTCTAGGAAACTGATTCCAGAGCCAAAGCCTTGCGTTGAGGTGAGTCAGATTATATCTAGCCAGAACATCTCAAACTCACACATCAACTCTGGCTCTTTCCCAACCTGAAAGATGACATTCCATGTACCAAGAGCTACCTTTTGTAGCCAAGAAGTAGACCACTACATTTCCTGCCTTTGGCTACCACCTGACACACAATGCACCTGACCTCTTTGGCCCTTCCCATGAGTGGTGAGCTCATGGAAAGAGGGACTCCTGTCTCCTCTTTGGGTTGTGTTTGGCCACGTTCCAGGGGTAAAATCCCGGCTACCAGGTGCTCGCCAGTGTGTCCCAAATCCAGGCCTGGCACCAGAGAGGGCCCCGTTGACCAGGTGGAAACACTGTTTCCATTTGTGTCACACAAAAGAGGTCTTTGGGCTGCACTTTGTCTGATCCCTCACCTAGGACCTGTTTGCCATGGGTGACCCTACCAGAGGCATAAAGCCTCTGACAACTTAGCTCCTAGGATCATTGGGACACCCAAACCTCTCCACCACTGTAAGGTGGCAGCCCAGGCAGGACCCAATCAGAGGTGAGATGTCTAATAATCAGGAAAAAAGATTTCAAATCCTTCAGTCTGAAGATCTCCCCTGATCTTGTCATCTTCTAGATCCTGAAGCAGGTGCACCAGGGCTTTTTGTACCCAGAGTACATTTTACAAGGCATTCATTTATACTAGAAACCACTGCAAATGTATTGATTAAACAAGTGAACAACACCTATAATATTCACTGACTCACCCATCTCGACTTGCCCCACCAGGAAAGTTGACTATTGAGCAGGATTGGTGGTTCATTTCTTTATGTCCACGTGGCGGGGTGAGGTTGTGCTCACTCCTCACCTCTGCCATGTGGACCTCAAAGGATAAACCATTAACCCTGCTCAATGGTCAACTTTCCTGGCAGGGTCACCCGATAAGACAGTGGAAGGGTTGGGAAGCAGCAAAGAATGTCTCAACTAGTCAAAGCTAATCGTTCGCATTGAAAATCCCACCCCACAGCTCTACTACAACGGTAGTTTCTGCTTCAGCCCTCTCCCCCCTCCCCTTCTTCAAGGCTTGGGGTATTTCTGGAGATAAAACATCAGTGTTGCAGAGCAAACAGAGTCGGTGGTAAAGTCTTTTTTTTACCGTTATTTAACCAGATAAGTCAATTGAGAACTAATTCTCATTTACAACAACGGTCTGGCCAAGAAGCAGCAGCAACAGAACCATAGTTAGCTTTACAGTCGTGTTCTTGTTATTCAGTTCAAGGCAAAATGGCAAAATATCTAAGTCCTAAACCTGCTGTCTGAAAGTACTTTCTCCTCCAGCAGACGTATACTTTCTGATTTAGGTGGATGGATTTTTTTTGTGCTGTTCAGTTTATATTGGCTGTAAAAACCCACATAGCAGCACAAAAAAATGCAAAAGATGATCTCCTTTAAAAACTTCAGAACCCAACTTTGAAGATGTTAAAGTAGGTTTAACAGGTTTGGAATCACAGGGAGTCATTTGAGCCACTTCCACTTATAAAGACTGTGCTTGATCCAAAATGGTAAAAATGGTAAATGGCCTGTATTTGTATATTGCGCTTTCCATCACAGTCATTCACCCATTTACATGCTGGCGGGGATGAGCTACGATGTAGCCACAGCTGCTCTGGGGCGCATTGACAGAGTCGAGCCCTGCCGAACATGGGCACCATTGGCTCCCTCCACCCACCACCAGCAGGCAAGCCAGGTTAAGTGTCTTGCCCAAAGACACAACAACAACATTCTCTGGTCAGAGCCAGGATTGAACCTGCAACCTTCTGATTACTGGACAACCCGCTCTACATCTTGAGCTACTTGTTGACCAATCCAAAGTCAACAAATGTTGTATAAAAACCTAGTACACTGTGTCGTATGAACTTTAAAAAAAAATGCAGGTGACTTACTCTCTAGTATATTAACAGGCTTTAGACAATTGGAAGGTCATTAATGCTTATTCTGTTTCCAGGTGAACCTGAAAGGTGAACACCTTAATGTGGCAAAAATTTTGGAGAAGGGCAAGAAACATAAAAAGAACTGGGGTTTGATGTTGATCATGCTGACTTCAGAGGAGCTGCTGCTTCATAAAGACAAACAAGAAACAAGTGTGGTATGAAATACTCATTAAAATTGACTCCAGTTTGAACAAAAAGCAGATTAAACTGCCATTTTATTTTCAGGCTTATTTGATTCTTAAAGAACATTTAATTACACCTACAACGTTGACCAAAGTGCTTTACAATGAAAAAAAAGCGTTGCCAACGCATTTCTTCATCGAATTTTATTGATTCGTTGTTGCAGCACTAGTATGGTGGTGCTTGTCCATGTAAGGCCCTAAAACTGAGAACCAGAATCTTGAAATGAACCTTAAAATTGACTGGCAGCCAGTGAAGCTGTTTGGTTCCAGTTCCAAAAACCTCACATCCCCTAGAACCAGACCACTACAGTCGCCTTGACCTCCCATCTGATGAATACCATTGAAGACTCATCCTCACCCATCTACATTCAGTGATGAGCCCGGAAATAGACCAACTGCAATTTGCATATAAACCAAACATGGAGAAAGCCCTCGCCTACCTGCAGCACCAGGCACTGACTCATTGAAGGATGCAAAAAAGCACTGTGAGAATCATGTTTTTCAGCCAGCCAGAAACATCACCAGGCACAGCTGAAGTCAGGTCTATTTAACCATACCAGCCCTGGTACTGGTAGGTCCAGCTTTTCGTTAACTCTGCGTTGTGTTTTTAGAAAGGGGTCTTGAGACGAAGTTTTGCTGACACCAGTATTTAATCTGTTAAACACAGGAATGCTGGTCAGAAACTTAGCTTTTGTTCAAGTCATGCAGCACACTGTTGGAATAAAAAGACAATTAATTATTAAATAACTTTAGGAGTTTTCTTCACACATAGAGCACTAATAGAACCCGAACTACCTCGAACGTCTCTGTCTTAAAACTGAGGAACATCAGACACAGCTGGCTATGTAAGCACGTAAAACAGACATTCAAAACCAACTCCCCACTTACGGCAGAGCAGTTTTACTGCTGACAAGTGGAATGACACTATTTACTCTGTTACATCTACTGCAGCAGAAGATGAGGGGTGCAGGAGTGGACAAACTACTCTGGCCGAAGCTACTCTGGGTACCCCATCAGGGGATGGAGAGCCAGTGTACCCAGATTAGTTTAGACTCGTTAAACAACAACAGACAGCTACAGCTTATAAGCTTGACTCTCCCACATTCCATTTAGAATTGACAAAGCGCCTCGGATGAGAAGCAAGACGTCTTCAAGAAACCAAAGAGGTCCAGTTGCCTTCATTTGAACCCTTTTGGATTTCCATGACCTGGATGACTAAGAACCTTCACTAGCATATGAAATTCAAATTTTATTTATTTATTTATTTATTTATTTATTTATTTACTGCTGAAGGTTACAACAATAGCCTACTGCCTTTGTGTATTTGCCTGTGTTAAAGAATACTTAGTTGTTTGGCTTGCTTTCGACACCCCCTAGTGCTCATTACTGCTGAAATTTCTCCTCAACCTTCATTATTTTCTACATGAGCAGTTCATCACTAAATCAAACAAATCAACTGTGTTCATGATCTAAAAAATGTGCAGAAAATATGCTGAAAGCACATTCCAGCACCAGGCATGTCACTTCCACTTTTACTAAGCCCAACAGGGACCTAACCAGCACTCTAAAAGTTGCAAGTGTGATATCCTGGCCATAGAGGGTGGTGGGTGTCTGAGTGACATTTCATTAACCCTCCCACTGTCTTTATGGGTGACCCCGTGAGGAAAGTTGACCATTGAGCAGCATTGATGGTTTATCCCTTGAGGTCCACATGGCAGGGGTGAGGTGGTGCTCACTCCTCACCCCTGCCCTGTGGACCCAAGGGATAATCCATCAACCCTGCTCAATGGTCAACTTTCCTCGCGGGGTCACACCTATTAGGACAGTGGGAGATTTAACCATGTAAAGGGTCATTTTAGCATATACTGGTTCATAAAAAGTTTTTAAAATATGAAAAAGTTGCAAAGTATGTCTTTATTTTTCGCCCCCATATTTTCTAAGTGTATGTACCACCTTAATGAGTGAGTTCTATTCTTGTCTAGCCTATTCTAAAAGTAGACAAGGTGTCTCCCCCATTGAAGGAAACTAAATGCTGGTTTACCAGAAGCCTGAGAACTGAAAGCTCTACCTTCCATTGCACTAATGGAACCGCTAGGAAACTTAAGTAAACCTGCAGTCAATTGCTTAGTTGTTCCATCTGGAACATGATAATAGAATAAGGATAATAGAAGGAGCTCAAACTTTCAAAACTTTAGAAGTTTAAATAAAAAATGTTCATTCAGTTGTGGATCTTGCTAGAACAACTGGGAGCAGAGACCTAATGTATACTGGATTTGCACTGCGTTGATTTCTTCACTTTTATGTTAGCGTGTTTGTCTACTGAATGCAGGAAATAATTACAATCCGTGTCAATCTATCCTGTTCTCAGAAAGCAGGGGGTAAAATTGACGTTGTGTCGCTGTGTGGGGCAACTATTAAGTGGACATCAGAAAAGTCAAGCAAGAAAAATGTTTTCCAGGTAACAAGTTTACAATGACTCATCATTTAATCTGTAAAATGATTTGAGGTTGGTCTCCCTGTAATGCTGTTAATTTTTTCAATTGTGTGCAGAAACAAAACTGTAATATACAGAGTGGGCTATTTAAATGGATACACCTTAATAAAATTGGAATGGTTGGTGATATTACCTTCCTGTTTGTGGCACATTAGTATATGAGGGGGGCAAACTTTTGAAGATGGATGTTGACCATGGTGACTATTTTGAAGTCAGCCATCTTGGAACCAACTTTTGTTATTTCATTAGGAAGAGGGTCATGTGACACATCAAACTTATTAGTAATTTCAAAAGAAGCACACCTCTGGAGGTGCTTGGGTTGCCTCAGTGGTTGAACTACTGGCGGTTGTGAGTGGGGCCCCTTGGAGGTCTTGGCGGTGGCCATGGGTCACTGCCCGGCAGCTGCATTGCTCCTGGGCAGGTCTGGGTGGGGGGCTGGGGGCTCGGGGTGTGGGGATGGCTGGTCCCGTGGGGGGATCTGGGCGGGGCCTTGGGGGTCGGGTCCTGACATGTATGCTGCCGGGGAGAAGGCAGGAACATGCGGCAGTGCCTGGCTCAGGTTCAGGGGCCTCAGGTAGACCTTGGCTCCTCTGCTGTTCAATCACAGGGGAGGGGGAAGTCCAGCAGGGGGAGGACCCAACCTTACCTGGATGTCCTATGTCTTATATAATCTGGAAGTTGTGCACATGCAGGGATGGGCGTAGATATTCTGCTGGGGTGGGGCTGGGTTGGTGCCCGTGGACTCCATGAGGCTCTGTGATGCTGCTGCTTTGGGCCCTGGCAGGATGGGCTGGGGTCTCCATGCCCTGGGTGGCATTTTGACAACAGAGGTGCCTATTGGGGCCAGTGGGGGAGCTGGCTCCCTGGAGGGCTAAGCCCAACCAGCCATTCCTCCCCATCCCTACACATTTCTCTCCTCCTGCTCCCTCACATCATCACACAAACATGCACATAGGATCTTGGGGGGTGGACAAGTCAGGGAGTGTGGGTATGGACTCCATTTCCGCATTCCTGTAGCAACCTGCCCCCCAATTTTATTTGCACCTTAAACACTTGACATTCCAATGACATTCCACGCAAACACACACTTAGGGCCTTGGGAGTGAGCACATTCAACGGCATTTGGCAAGGGGATCTTTCAGCCTCATCCCAAGTGCCGGTGCCCACTTCCAATTTTAAACTGGACTTAGACACTGAGGGCTGTGGTTGCAAGTGGGGTGGTGTGGTGGCATCAGCTGGCATAGGCAAGATGATGCCCGCACTGCCCGCTCACCACAGCCATGGAATACACCTCATCAACACGCACTAACACCATATTGGAGCAGGTGGAGGGAGACTAGGAGGTCTTAGCACACCTCTGTTGTCGCTTGGCTTCCTGGGGCTGGAGGCTAGGAGGGAGATCCGGCCGTCCGGTTGGGGTCTGGGGTGGTGGGTTGCTGTGCTCAGCGTTGGGCGGGGGAGCCTGCTCATCAGCACCCCATGTGCAGCAGTACCGGGACCAGAGTGAATAGGGTGTGTATGGGGAGCATGAGTGGGTGTCCGACGTGCATTTTTGTAAGTCTTTGGTTGTATATGCATGTGTGAGCATGAAGGAGGGAGTGTGTGACTGTTTTTGTGTATGACTGTATATGTCAGGTGGGGCCTTTGACTCCTCCCTTCTCCTGGGACTTCTTCTGTTGATAAAGATCTTCGTCTCCCCTCTCCCTGCCACACCTGGTGTGGAGTGCGGTGCCTTGGTCTGCCATGGTCGTGGCTCCTGGGTCAGGGAGTTTAAGATTTTTGTCATCTGTCTGACCAATCCCTGTGGCTGCCTGGTGGGGTCTGGGTCCCTGGGCTTTGCTGGGTCCCCGGCGGGGGTGGTGGCCCCTGGGTCCTGGGTCATTGGGTCCCTGGTTCGGCCGGCTAGGGGGTGGGAGGCTGCGGGCGGGCCTGTGGGCTTGCCGCCGATATCTCCCGGGACTCTGCCGGCTGCTGGTTGTGGTCCCCCGGAGCGATCCTCTGCGCCACTCAAGGGGGGCTGGGGCTTTTCTGGTCGCAGTGTCCCTGGGGTTCCTGTGCTCTGGGGCAGTTCCTGGATCTCTGGGACTTGGAGCTCCCTCCGTCTCCTGCACATCTTTAGGGGGCAGATCTGTGGCCCCTCACACTCTCTATTGGACGCTCCTATAGAGAAACCTTACATAAACAAACGCGTGTACACACACAGGTGCTCACATGGTGCTGTCATAAGTATGGACTTGGGCACATGCTACAGTTAGCAAACTGCATGCTAAGTTTCGTGAAACTGGTTCAGTGTTGGATTAGCCAAAATGTGGATGCATGAAAACTGTCACTAATGAAGAAACATCAGTGGCTCTCCTAGCTTCATCAACAAGAGCCCACAGCGTAGCACTTGCCGCATGTCACTGGAGAGTGGCATTAGTCGAACATCCCTTTGGCGGATATTAGCTACTCACAAATGGCACTCTTACAAACTCCAGCTACTGCAGCATCTCAACGAGAATGACCCACATTGGCCTACAGAATGTGCAGTTCACGCAGAAGATTTTGTTCAGTGATGAGGCAAACTTTTATGTGAATGGTGAAGTTAAACAAAACCATCACTATTGGTCTGACACTAACCCACATTGGATAGATCCCTCCATTGGACTGTTGGAACAAAAAATTGATAGTATGGTGTGGTATATGGGGTACAAAGATAGTGGGGCCATTCATTATCAATGGAAACCTCAAGGTCAATGGATATTTGAAAATGCTACATGATGATGTGTTTCCCTCTTTATGCACTGAAGCTAGCATGTTCCCTGAGTTTTTCCAGCAAGACGGTGCACCACCACATTATGGGTGTCAGGTCTGAGCATTCCTAGATGAATAGTTTCCTGGAAAGTGGATTGGTCATTGTGGGCCAGTTGAATGGCCCCCTAATGTCTCCCAATCTCACCCCCTTAGGCTTTTATCTTTGTGGTCATCTGAAGGCAATTGTCTATGGTGTGAAGATACGAGATGTGCAGCACCTGAAACTGCAGATACTGGAAGCCTGTGCTGGCATTTCTCCTGCGTGTTGCTATCCGTGTGTGAAGAGGGGGAGAGGAGGGTTACATTGATAATCCCAACAAAATGGGCAGCACATTGAACACAATTTATAAGTGGTCAGAAACTTGTAAATAACTAATGAAATAATAAAGTTACGTTCAAACCAAGCACACCATTTTTTTCTTGTGAAATTACCAATAAGTTAGATGTGTAGCATGACCCTCTTCCTATTGAAAAAAAAAAGTTGGATCCAAGATGACCAACTTCAAAATGGCCACCATGGTCACCACTCATCTTGAAAAGTTTGTCCCCTTACATGTACTAATGTGCCACAAACAGGAAGTTAATATCACCAACCATTCCCATTTTATTGGTATGTATCCATATAAATGGTCCTCCCTGTATAATTACCTTTCCATCTGTTCCAGATTACAACAAATACAGGAAGTGAGTACCTTCTCCAGTCTGACATTTACTCCACTTCCAGCAAATGGCACGATGCCATCAAAAAAACAATTGAGTCAGTGGTAAGTCATCACACAAAACATCAAATATATGATGTAGTAATTCATTTGACAGAGTGAGGAACATAATTTTAAATAGTTTGTGACTTATTTTTCTTTTCAGACTAAAGAAGACAGGGGTTTTGCTCTATGGAGGTCTAACAGCACAGAATACTTGTCCAGACACAGCTCCTTACCTGGATATGGAACAGCGTCCTCGAACATGAAAATACAAAACCCAGTTCACAGACGCTCCATCAGTAAGTCCAAGACAAGTCAACAAATTAAAAACAACCTAGTCACACAATTATCAGAATGAATTTCTATAGTTGGTTTTTGTTTTGTAATTCTCAAGAGTAAAAAGTAAATAAGGCTAATAGAAATTTTATCTTGCTGCTTGAAGAGAAAACCCATCTTAAAATCTTTCTATGTTTAGGGTTAGGGTTAAGGAACAGAAAAATCTATGTTTTAAATGTTCAGTTAAAGGTTAAATAGACAGTATGTTAGTTTTTTTCAATTGAACTCTTTTTACAGATGTGTTCAGCAGCTCTAAGCTAAAACACAGTGTCTCAGACAGCATTGACAAGAATGGAGTGAAGAATAGACTAAAGAAATTCATCAGCAGACGTCCATCCATGCAGACTCTCAAGGAGAAAGGACTTATCAAAGGTTTTTATCTTTTTAACCACTCTAAAATAATGTTTTGGGATGTGGCTTTTGGTGCAACAGTGGCAGAGGAGTTAAAGCTACGGCACTTTCTAGTGACGGACAAATGTATTTCATCTTAAGACGTAATTTCTTTCAAAATTTAAGGCCAAAAGCAGTGCCTCACATATGTGAACATGCACCTCTAGCTGGTAAGCAGAGATAAAACACATTGTTTTACAATAATTCTCATGTTATGTTGTTTATTCCTATATTGGTACATATTTTAAGGACTCACTTGTCAACAACAAAAGTTACTAACTCTGCATCTGTCTAGGTATGTACTCCAACACTTGCACACACTATGATTGACAGATGTACAGAAGCTGATGCATAACGTTACTGGTTAATGCCGAACAGTGGTCAGATGAAATTGTGTTGGGCTTTATGGGTTAACTGCTGAAATGAAAGTTGAAGCTGCTTAAAAACTGCAGAGAAGATTATACTGCCTTGTGGGGGAGGGAAAGGATGAGCGTTGGGGGTGGGTGAGAGATGGGTGTGTCGTAATCATCGACATGGTCATAATCCCTGCAGCAGCGTTGTAACAGCCATAGGAAATAAGCTATTCTTCCGTGTCAGTGCATGCTCTTTTGACTCTGTCTGTGGGACGGTTAGAGAATAGTGCTTTCTTGAATGGGCGAAGTCTACAAATCTTGTTGGCCTTACGGAGGAGCAGTGGCAGAGGAATTAAGTGTTCACTCCATAATTAGAAAGTTGCATGTAGCTATATTGTAGCTCATTACTATCGAGGTGTGAATTTGTGTGTGTGTGTGTGTGTGTGTGTGTGTGTGTGTGTGTGTGTGTGTGTGTGTGTGTGTGTGTGTGTGTGTGTGTGTGTGTGAATGACTAGTGTTGTAAAGTGCCTTGAGCGGTTCCAGGGACCTCTTTTATCAAAAGTTCGTAGAGACGTTTCTATATTCTACCCTACAAATGGAATTTAGAATGTTCACACGAACAGCCCAAAGTCTGATTTCAGAAACACGCGGTGGCCTCTCGCATGTTCCTCCACAAACAGCTGCTGATAAATCCCACTTGCGCGTACTCAGATGCTTGTGCCTGTTGACAGCCATTTGCATAGACAAACGCCCTCAATTAACCATATTTGTTCACGGTACGTCCTCAGCACGTGAGGCCATGGGGCTTTTTTTCTTCAGAAAAAATAAGTAAAACTTTATTGACAATGAGATCGAAACACTGGCTGCCGAAGCGCAAAAGAACTTAACAAGTTACAGAGGTAAAAAATTTGGCCAGGACAGAGGAGAGGTTCCTGCCAGAGATAAATAAAGAATGGATTTGATAAATGGTAGAATAACGGGTTCTTATGTACATTTAAGGAATCGTTCTGTTTGGAGTTAGTTTCAGTTGGAAATGTTGTCCCAGAGTGCAGCCTCTGAGCTGTCATTCAATCTGGTTACCTTGTCAACGTGACGTGTATGATCAGGGAGCAGAGGAGGTTCTGGGGTGTTCTCCAGTTGTAAAATAAAATATGAATTGGGATCAGATTCATGAGGTTTGTCTGTCAAGCCATGAAGGGTCCCCAATCCAAGCATAGCAGAAGGATTTCCTTTGAGATCAGAGCGCTCACGGAGAACACGTTCCCTCCAGAGAGCATGCTCTGTTGAATCCTTCAATAACACAGATTCCCATCGGTCACAGGTGTCTTTTATTGGTTTTAGCAACAATTATGTGAAAAAGCAGTTTTTCCACTGACAAAATTACATACTGGGTAAATAAAATTTGTGGATGAGAAACACATTTGGATGACCGAGACATTCGGTCTTGCGCTTCCCTGTTCAGCCACTAGATGCTGTGCGTACGCATGGTCAGAGATGTTCTTACGTTTGGGAACATTTCTACACACAAGTAAAAAATGATAAATACCACATAATGCGTAGAATTGTTCCTACGCACGAAATATGCACAGAACTGTTTACTCTCGACAATCACAGCATTCCAGTGCACAATGAGAGAGTCTCAGCAGCGAAGCGGCTTCTCTGCCGTGCTGCGCGCTCAACTCGCTAGATCACACGACCCCTGGAGACTTCAAAGGTTACGCTTTGTTTATGCCATCTGCCATTAAACCGAAAAGAAGGAAATCAGGTTATTATTGCTGTTTGATGTCATATATTATGTTGTTCCTCTCCACTGCCAGGATTAAAGCCGTGAAAAACACACCGCTGCACTTTTGAACTAAATAAGTCGTTAAATCACACATAAGCTTTGTAAATATGAAACTGGGTCGCTGCAATACTTTTATTTTGAAAATAACAAGGGTTTTTACTCTGAAACCGTGTGTGACGTCTTGTCTAGCCCTATGTTAACTGTAGTAACTGATGCATCCCCCAAGCAGCTTGCAGAAAAAATAGAACCCGATGCTATTTTTAGCGGCGTTCCTGCTGGTTTGTTACGCTCCATAGACTACAATGGATTCTATTTGAAGCAGTGCCGTTCCGCACCGCTGATGCTTCCAATGTAGTGGGGGTTAGTCTTGAGGTTGAGATGGTTGTTACTGTACCAGGCTGCCAGTGGGACAATTTGAAAATGCCCAAGCCACCTCAACTGGTTGCTCTTAATGTGGAAGAGCAGCGGATCTACTACGAGCCCCTCCCGGATAATCGAGCTTCTCACCTTATCTCTAACTGAGAGCCCAGTTACCTCTGTCTATTTATGGGGAAACAGTGCTACCAACTATGCCACTACATAGCCCTATCTTGGCACTTTCTTCTGACAATAGTGTCTGTTTTAATTTTAGATCGAGTGTTTGGCTGTCACCTGTTCACACTATGTGAACGAGAAGGAACCACAGTACCAAAGTTTGTAAGGATGTGTCTGAATGCTGTTGAAAAGCGAGGTGAGTGACTGAATAAAATGGAGCTCTTGCATTGTGTGATCACAACCAGGAATGGACAACGTAGCTTTAAAAAAAATTACTAGGTTACTAAAAATTATTAGGTGTTAAAATTGTATTTCTGTTTATTACAGTTCTTATCTTTATCTTAGTCACATGAAGTATCACTGATTTCCAGCTGCACTAAATGTTTTGTGTTTGATTCTGTCAAAGCAACATTTATTTTTCTAGATGTTGGTCAGCTTGAAGGCAGCTGATGATGTCGTTTAAAATAGTGTCAGTCAAATCAAAGTTCTCTGGTTTTGGAATAAATACATTTACACATCTTTACTTGTAGATATAAGATCATAAATACCACATTTATATTTTTAACCATAAAACTGTAATAGCTTTTATCAAGTAAAAAAATATTTGGCTTGCTGGGAACCAAACCTGGGTCAGGCTAATGCTTGGAATGCAGCTATGCTAACGGCCATACCACCAACACTTATGAGCAGTTTAATTCACAACTATTTTCCAGTGATCAAAGAAGCTTTTGTACGTCATCAGAAACAGTTAAGTCACGTTGCTAATATTTTTGTTAGCTAAGTTGATAGTGCTAGGGTGGAGATGCTAGTTTTGACTTTCACCAGCATGTTTTAGATACCAAACTAACTAGCTGTTATAATGCTTCATAACCATATTGAACAGGAGGCTCCTCTGGTACCATCAATATTCCAGAAGCTGCCGAGAAAGCTAGCAGCATAGTTATCGGACAGTAGTAGATTTTAGCAGTTGCAGCTGGAGTGAATGCCCGTACACGATGGTCTAATGGCGGTACGTGTGAAAACACAGCAGCTGATCATTTTTTCTAATAAAATCTTAATGTTAATGCTTTTTCTTTGAGAAAAACAAACCACTTTAGTTAAACAGAGACAAAGTCAATTTATTGTCCATCTCTACCAAATACAGACAGAAACTTCAAATCAGATGTGTTTGATTTTAGCCTTAAAAGGCCCAAACCAGTTAGTACGTCTGGATCCTCTGACAGAAGTTGGTATGATTTTTTAAAGTCTTTTTAAGGCATTAACTTCTTTTTCAGGTTTGGAGGCAGATGGGATCTACAGGGTCAGTGGGAACCTGGCCACAATCCAAAAACTACGCTTCCTGGTGGATCAAGGTCTGAATAAAGAGCTAGTTACCCCTAAAATAACTTTTTTTTTCTTCTGATAAATGATTTTGACAGAAAAGTTTGGTGCCCACACCAGGTTCGAGCACTGTTACAGTCAGTGTTTTTAGGAAAGACATTTAATCCTCCTTGCCTGCAGGGGGTGGTCAGAGGGACCACCCCGGGGCAGCTGTGGCTACATTGTACCTGTGTCTGAAAATGTGTGTGCGTTGGGGAATGACTGTGTTGTAAAGTATCTTGGGGCATTGTTGAATCCTAGAAGGTCCTATATCAAATACAGGCCATTTACCACAAACTGTATAACTGAATGTCAGAATAAGAATTGTGATCATTTATTGCCAAGGATGTGAGAGTGTTACATTACTAGGATTTTGCTTCAGTGGAATGGTGCAAACATTCAAGTGAAGCAAGTCAAAGTCAAATTTATTTTTATGAAAATTTTAAAATGGTGTGGCAGCTTACCAAAGTGCTGAACAAAGAAGGGTAACATTAAACGAGACAGATCAGTAAACTGAAACATGTATCAAGAGCAGCCGAGATACAGAAGCAACAGTAGAACGTAGTGCCCAGCATCAATTGAAACCAGAATGTCATTCTGTCATTCACACAAATATGCACTGACTCTGTGCTTTGATTCAGCCTAAAGGCTGATTGAAAGTGGCCCAGTAGGTAATGATCTGTATGTGTGCAGATCTTGCATTGATGGAATGCTAAAGCTGATCACCTTTTTCTGCTGATTGCTCAACACGTTGTAGTCTGTGCTTTTCCCTGGCACTGGCCCCTGCGTACCACACAGTGATGGAGGAAGTGAGACTGATAGACTCAATGATGGTCGTGTAGAACTGGACCATCATCATGGTTGACGTTCTGAGTTTCCTCAGCTGCTGCAGTGAAATATTGCTGTAGACCTATAAAGTCATTATTTTGTCATTTTAGTACATCTTATCTAAAATATAAATATTCAGCCTTAAACCCTCTTCAGGTTAACCCTTTGATGCATGAATTATGAAATCTTCAACCATGATTTTTTAAACAGTTTTTTTCATTTGTCTTTAGGTGTGAATGAAACAAATTTCAACAAATATTTTTTGTAAAATTTTATAATTTACAAATAATTTATTACATGTCCACTTCAGTGGGCAGCGTGCATTCTGAGCATGAAACATGTTGGCTTGACTCACTGAAGTCCAAACGGAGGGGCTCAAATACAATAAAGTCTTCAACAGCTGTGCTTAATAGCAAAAACAAATAAATAACAATTTGGAGTACCTGTCCACTGTAGTGACCATTATGCATCAAAGGGCTAAAACTCTGCCCTACATTGATTTTGAATCAGCCATTGAGACCAAAGCTGACAGATCATTTATTCCGCCTTTCCCGGGATCCACTGGTTTCCCTATTTTCTATTCATTTTCTTTTTCCCTTTTCTTAATTTTTTTAATCACAATTTATAATTTTTCTCAATTTTGAACGTATTTATCATTTTCTGGAACCCTTTTTTATACTTTAATTTTCTTTTGTTTTTGTGAAGAGCCTCGTGATTTTTATCTTGAGGTGCTATATAAAAACATCATTCTTTCTATTGCTTATGGCTAAGAGGTCTCCAGTGATGTTGACTGTAGAGTATTACAGGTCCTTCTAAAAAAATTTGCATATTGTGATAAAGTTAATTATTCTCCGTAATGTACTGATAAACATTAGACTTTCATATATATATTAGATTCATTACACACAACTGAAGTAGTTCAAGCCTTCTATTGTTTCTAATATTGATGATTTTGGCATACAGCTCATGAAAACCCCAAATTCCTATTTAAAAAAATAGCATATCATGAAAAGGTTCTCTAAACGAGCTATTAACCTAAGCATCTGAATAAAGTAATTAACTCTAAACACCTGCAAAAGATTCCTGAGGCTTTTAAATAATGAACTTTATACAGTATGCTAATTTTTTGAGAAGGACCTGTACATGGCTGGACTGCAACAAAGTCTGGACCATACTTCCAGCTCCAGCAGCAGCCTAAGTCGAGAAGCCCAGACTTCACTCTCCCCGGCCACTTGGACCAACTCTTCTAGGGGAATCCCTGTCTCTCAAGACATAGTCCCTCCAGCGTGACCTTGGTCTCCCTTTAGGCCTCCACCTGATCAGATGGGCCCAGAAGAGCTCACCGGGGAGGCATCCAGGACACATCCTAATAAGATGCCTGAGCCACCATAACTGGGTCCTCTCGATGTGGAGGAGCACCGGATATATTCCGAGCCCATCCCGGATGACCGATCTTCTCACCCTATCTCTAAGGGAGAGCCCAGCCACCCTGCGGAGTAAACTCATTTTGGCCGCTTGTATCCGCAATCTCGTTCTTTTGGTTACTACCCAAAGCTCGTGACCATAGGTGAGGGTAGGAACGTAGATCGACTGGTAAATCGAGAGCTTCGCCTTCTGACTCAGCTCTCCTCACCGCGACAGATCAGTACAGCACCTGCATCACTGCAGACGCAGCACCAATCCGCCTGTCGATCTCACTCTCCATCTTTCCCTCACTCGTGAACAAGACCCCGAGATACTTAAACTCCTCCACTTGAGGCAGGACCTCATCTCTGACACAGAGACGGCATTCTACCCTTTTTCAAATCAAGACCGTGGTCTAGAATTTAAAAGAGTTGATGCTCATCCCAGCTGCTTCACACTCGTCTGTGGACCGCTCCAGCTAAAGCCGAAGATCACGTTCTGATAAAGCCAACAGGACCACATCATCTGCAAAAAGTAGAGACCCGGTCCTCAGGCCACCAAAATGAATCCCCTCAATAACTTGGCTTCGCCTAGAAATACTGCTCATAAAAGTTATGAACAGAGTCACTGACAAAGGGCAGCCTTGGCGGAGTCCAACTCTCACTGGGAACGAGCCCAACTTACTGCCGGCAAATCAAACCAAACTGACACCAGTCATACAGGGACCTAACAGCCGGTATCAGAGGGCCTGGTTCCCCATTCTTGTGGAGTGCCCCCCACAGGGCCCTCTGAGGCCCCTCCACGGTGTTCACTACGGACAATCGATGACTAGCACAGAAGTCCAATAACAAAACACAGCTCAATTTCAGATCAGCAGGGCCATTCCTCCCCACCACACACCTCCAGGTCTCACTGTCATTGCCCACGTGAGTGTTAAAGTCCCCTAGCAGAACGAGAGAGTCACTGGAAGGAGCGCTTTCCAGTACCCCTTCCAAGGTCTCTAAAAAGAGTGGGTAGTCTGAACTGTAGTTCAAGCACAAACCACAGTCAGGACCCGTTCCCCCACATGTAGACGGAGAGAGGCTACCCTCTCGTTCACCGGGATAAACTCAAATGTACAGGCAACAAGATGGCGGGCAACTAGTTTGCCCTCCCCTGCTCGGCGCCTCTCAGTGGGAGAAACTCCAGAGTGGTAGAGTGTCCAGCCCCTCTCAAGGAAAATGGTTCCGGAGCCAGAGCCATGTGTTGAGGTTAGTCAGACTATATTTAGTCAGAACCTCTCAACATCACACACCAACCCAGATCCAGCATAAACAATCAAACCCAATTATTTTTGACCCATAGGGCCCTATGTTCCAACAGACTGGAAAATTGCTGCAGTTACACCAATTTTCAAAGCAGGCGTGAGGACTGATATGACAAATTATCACCCCATAAGCATACTCACGGTTATATCTAAAATAGCTGAGAAGTGGGTCGTTAAACTCCTCAATTCTCGCCTTGAAGACACTCAACCCTCACTGCATCCATTGCAGTTAGGCTTTTGGGCCCATCACACAGAGACTGCCCTGTGTGTTAGTGGAGATTTTGAAGAGCTTGTTGGACAAGAGTCCATGTGTTGGAGCTGTATTTTTAGATCTGAAGAAGATGCAAACCATCAGATATTGCTGTCCAGGTTTACTCAGTTTAACATCTCCAGTAAGGCTCTTCAGTGGTTTGCCTCATATCTCTCACACAGGAAACTGTGTGTAGTGTTGGACGGGGTTAAATCTCCATATTTAGATTGTGATACAGGGGTTCCTCAGCGATCTGTTCTCGGGCCCTTATTATTCTCTCTTTTCATCAATAACTTACCTGAAGTTTGTCCAAATACGCTTGTTCAAATGTATGCAGAGGATGCGGTTACATATATGCAAGCTAAAAGTGTCCAGCAGGTGGCAGGAGATCTTACAGCTGCCTTAGCACTTGTAGCGTTAATGAGCGGCTACATGTGTAACAAATGACCAATAAGATGTGATAATTCCATATAAATATGAAATATAGACCTGATTGATCTTTGAATGTTTAATCAGAAGATTATAGTTACTTTTACTTATTCAGGGACCATAAACACACTTCGTATTTATTCAGACCATCAAGTATATAGTTTATAAAGATGAATTTATTTCTTTTTCCCTAAACTTATAATCATACATGACAAGGGATGAATGAAATGATGGAATGTAATGGATGAAGTTATTGAATCTGATGTGTGGAATGCTGGAATGGAAGCTAGATGTTTTAGCAAAACCTTTAAGTATCTGAGTTTGTGGAGTCTGGGTTGTCAAAGAATTTGGCTTTGTTACAACCCCCTTAGTCTAGGACCAATGGGGCCATAACATATGGAAGACGCGTCACAGATTTCCTACCACTACTGCCACGTGTTAAATAAAACAAACCACTGAACTTCAAAAACTTTGAAACTTAAAAGAGTGTGTTTGATATATAAAGTCCTACATTCCCTTGCTCCACCACCACTAAAGGAGTTCATTCGATGTAAAGAAAGTTCAAACAGGACTACTCAAGCCACAACTCAGCGAGACTTGTTTATACCTTTCAGACGGACAAAATTTGGGCAGAACGTCCTTTCTGTCGAGGGTGGCCATCTGTGGAACCGTCTTCCCCAATCCATCAGAGAATGCTCTACATTTAACTTGTTTAAGGCACAGGTTAAAAACTGATTATGGACAGATCAAGTGTGTGATCATGTGTAAGGTGTATGTCAGTTTAATGTTGTACTTGGTGATAGAATGGTATGTATGTGTGAGTGAGGAGATGAAAGTTTTTACTATGTACAAAAACGGAATGCATGGTCTGCTTAAATGAGAAATATTTTAATAGTTTAATGGGATATGGATGTATACTGTAATATGTTTTTTGTTTAATGTGTATTGGCCTCCATATGACCTACCCTTCAGGACAACAGATGAAAATTAACTCTAGCCTATAATCTGCTGTGTTTATGTTGATCTCATTGTTTTTACATGACTGTTCATTAACATGCACTGTCCTAAATAAATAAATATGATTTCCGTAATGTAGAAAATACAGAAGGACTCATGGAATGTAAAAAACAAAATGGAATTCAGTACAAACACTGAATTTCACAGTATTCCCTCATGTTAGCAAGTAGAGAGAAATAGATGGTAGTTTGTGAGGTATTGTGACCACTGCAGTAACCTGGTGAGGCGGTCGGCTCTCCTCCCCACTCAAATGGGTAAAAAGAAAAAATGGTCAGTCATGGCAAAGAGGCTAATAGAAACATCAATGTCTCCCCAAATGTTTAAAACCATGTAGCTGTGTGTAAAGTTCATAGCAGGAAAATATCCCAGCAATTCTTATAAGAAACATTTTACTATTCAATTTACTTTAACGTTCTCTCTAATAGTTATCCAACTTTCATTACAGGCTTGCATTTTTCTCCTACATAACAAACTCCTGGGGCCAACATCTTTAGTTGTAATTTGAAAATTCTTGTGTTGTCTCTCCACTAGAGGAAGATCTTGACCTGGACCACAGTCAGTGGGAGGACATCCATGTCATCAGTGGAGCCCTGAAAATGTTTTTTCGTGAGCTTCCAGAACCACTCTTCCCATTCAAGTCCTTCCAGCAGTTTGTAGAAGCCATCCGTAAGTTATACCAATAAACATTCATTAATGGTTCAAGCTCATAGATGTACCACAATTATAAAACACACCACAGATATCTTAAAAACATGAATTGAACTGCGATGATGGTGGTAGAGAAGCCCATCTCATAACTGGAGGGTTGTGGGTTGAGTCCCGCTTAGTCTGTCACACTCGTGTCCTTGGGCAAGATGCCTCACCATCCTTGCCTGCTGGTGATGGTTGGAGGGAGTGGTGGCATCTATGTACAACAGCCTCACTTTTGTCAATATGTCCCAGTACATGTGTGGCTAAATTGTAGCTCATCACCACCAACATGTGAATGTGTGTGCATAGATGAATTATGGGATGTATTGTGAAGTGCCTTAGGGCAGGGATTCCCTAAGTGAGCTGCCGCTAGGGGGTGCGCGAGGTGAAAAGTGTAATGACTGTGGAGCTCAGAGAAGTCTGTCATAAGTCACCATTAGCGTAGCCAGAAACTCATTTGTGGGTGGGCCTAAGAAAATGTAAGTGGGCCCAATAAATGTGATTGAAAACAAGTATATTTTTGCGCGCGTGTCCTCCACATGTGCCCTAACTTCATAATAACAATGCGCCGAGCTTCAGCGCTCTGGCCTGCGCACGCTGATATGTTCCGTATTTGATCATTTTTAACGGTGTTGGAGGAATCTGAAGGTGGCGAGTCATTCTGGCAGATTGTAATTAACACCTGTCTCATGCAGGTGTTCTGACATTGTAAACCTCACACACAGAACATTGTGGATGTAACTAAATAAATCAAGAAATGATTCCCATTCAGGCTATTAACAGCGCGCTGAAGATCTGAAGTTCAGAGTGCGTCTGTCAGAGGTCAGACGCGTTCCAGCGGAACCACGGCTCACGGGTGCACAAGTGAGCACATCTGGGCTGGGCAGAAGAAATTTTACAACATTGGTTTAAATAGCGCCAATAACGAGACGCGGTGACTTGAGCGGCTCATGGAGCTGTGCCGCGAACACACACACACACACACACACACACACACACACACACACACACACACACAGATTCAATAAGCGCGCACGCTGCGCAAACTCCGGCGCGCCGTCAGACTGAAGGCAGAAATGAGCGCTGCCTTCTCTGTGATAAAAACTTTTAAGAGGTTTTATAACATTTTTATTTCAAGGTCAAATTAAGATATTAGCTTCTATTTTGGGATGACGTATTAAAGTCGGGTCCACACCAGTCAGTGACTCCGAACCTGCAGCACTTGTTATTCCAGTCTGCGTGGCAGCGGATCGCAGATTCAGCCACACCATAAAACAGCAATAAGTCGGTCTGAGGCTATATCTTTTCCATCTTTGCCCCTATAGACATTTGATTACGCACAAGTAGGTGATCAGTTCAGGTTTACGCAGAGCAGAAGGAAGGAGAGCGCTCTGGCCGCACAGGTTAAACGTTCCTACTTTAAGAAAACTGTTAAATTGCATTTTTTATGTGCTACCTGGGCACTCTAAATATTTATTTAAAATTAAATCAAAGGAAATTGTAATGGTATCGAATGCTTATTAATCACTATTTAAAAAATGAAAGTGATGGGGAAAAAGGTCGATTTTTTTTTGGCCCTGTCTGTTTAGCTTGACGTCTGATATATATATATATATATAGCCATGCCCTGATGTGGGAACTGGGGGGTGCGTCGTCATGGTCGGGACATAGAAGGGGGTGCGCGGCTAAATAAGTTTGGGAACCACTGCCTTAGGGGGTTGTAGAACCCTGGAAGCCACTATACAAATACAAGTCACTTAGTAAAAACACCTAACAACTCATGTTTCAACTAGAGAATCAATGTTAAACAAATGCTGTTCTTTTTTTTGTTTGTTTTTGATCAGAGATCAAAGAGTCCAAACTCAAAGTTCAAGCTGTGAAGAAACTGATCCAATGTCTGCCCAGAACCAACCAGGACACAATGAAGCTGCTCTTCAGCCACCTACAGAGGTACCACTCCAGATCTATTCCAGAACAACACCAGAAATAAACTGTTATGAGTGTCTGCCCTGGGACTGAGAGATTGGGGTTCAAATCCTGGTCGGGTCATGCCAAAGATATTGGAAAAAATGTGGCCCAGAGCTTTGGGTAATGACTGAAAGAACGAGATTGCGGATTCAAGTGGCCGAAATTAGTATCCTTCGCAGGGTGGCCGGGCTTAGCCTTAGGTATAGGGTAAGGAACTCGGACATCTGGGAGGGAGTTGGAGTGGAGCTGGTGCTTCCTCTGCACCAAAAGGTGCCAGCTGAGGTGGTTCGGGCATCTGGTCAGGATGCTTCCTGAACACTTCCATCGTGAGGTGTTTTGGGCATGTCCTGCCAGCAGGAGGCCCCCAGGTCGACCCAGGACTACCTGGAGGAAACATCTCTAGGTTGGCCAGGGAAAGCCTGTGTGTCCCAGCTGAGGTGCTGACAGACTTGGCAGGGGAGAGGATTGCCTGGGTGGCCCTACTTGGGATGCTTACCCCGCGACCCGGACCCCGGACAAGTGGAGCAAGGTAAAGTGAAGGGAGGTGACCCAATGCCTCCCTGCTTGACACACTGCATCAAGGGGTTGGTTTGGGGGTTAAACCATCAAATGGTTCTTGAGCATGGCTGTGTCTCAATCAATTCAATTTTTTTAAAGCACCTTCCTGCCACCAATTAATGCAGCCCAAGGTGCTAAACACCAAACAAAAGCCATCCATCCATTTTCTGAACCCGCTTTGTCCATATAGGGTCACGGAGGGGGGGGCTATCTCCAGCGGTGAACGGGCAATCAGGCGGGGTACACCCTGGACAGAGAGCCAGTCCATCGCAGGGCAACACAGAGACACACAGGACAAACAATCACACACACACACTCACACACCTAAGGACAATTTAGACAGACCAATTAACCTAACAGTCATGTTTTCGGACTGTGGGAGGAAGCCGGAGTACCCGGTGAGAACCCACGCATGCACAGGGAGAACATGCAAACTCCATGCAGAAAGATCCCAGGCTGGGAAGCGAACCCAGGACCTTCTTACTGCAAGGCAACAGCTCTAACCACTGCACATCCCACACCATACAAAAGCCAGAATCTGAAAATAAAACAAGGAAAATATTGAATATTGAAAGTTATTGAATATAATGTGAATAAAACCCAACAAAAGTTTTCAGTGATCCCTGTTTGCCAACTGAACAAAAGCATCTACATTACAGAATTATGAATATAAAAGCCACCTACATTGAAAACCATGTGTCGGCATGGAACAAAAAAACAACAACAAGCAAACGTTAAAAATTTGAATTAAAATAAATAAAAACATCAGATCATGACAGTACAATTCCAGCAAGTCGATTTAAAGATTGCCCTCAAGTACTGATGCAGTCGGACTTGAGGTGAGGTGTGATGATGTGTGAATATGATGTTATCAGAACCCTCGTATCTGAAGAAACTGAGTTCTGAGTGAGAGTGAATTTGGTCTGCTATAAACTATAAGTGAGGGTTTATAAAACCACACCAGACGCAATCTGTCGTGTCTTTGTACCCTCTCAAAGACCCTCGTGGTACATCCAGAATGTGTTGAAGTCTGTGGACCCCAAAGGTACCGAAGTCCGTAGAAGAAACCGCAGCACCATTAGACCAGCCTTAGAGTTGTCTCCAGGTCACAACAGGTAGTTTTTAGTCTCTATGGAAGGACCCTAAGGAGTCGGAGCTGTGTCAGCTTTATTCTGAAGGAACCGTTTGCAGTCAGCTGTAGCATGCTACAGGTTTTGACAGCTTGTCAAAAGATGCGATGGGAGAAGAGTTTTCCTCCAGTGGCCAGTCCAGAGTTAGGCTCAAATGACTCACTAGGAAGTGAGTTCTATCAGAATCTTACAAGTGAAGGGATTTTGTCAACAAACCTCAGAAACCACACCTTGCATCAGATACAGGAGCTCTGATTTGTGGAACAGAAAGCAATGTGTCATGAGATTAGTTTAACCTTGTCATTGACATGTGTCTGAGTGTGTGAGCTGTCAGTAGATAGTGATTCACTTGTTAGTGATTCACTTGTTAAATCAAACTTTACTGATCACAACATAATAATATTCATTTCAACTTCAGTAATTTAAGCACAGATTAATCAAAACGTTGTTATTATTCTTCAGACATTATTATTCATTCAACCATATGATTATATATGTATTCCATTGCATCATCCAGTATTCATTATTATAATGGTTCATTCTTATAAAAGTTCATTCTTCTTGTTCTGTGAAGCAAAGCAGATAAAGATAAGGGGAAACTTGAGAGGGACTTTGGTCAAGCAACAGTGTCTTTCTTGCAGATTAAAGGTTCCAGTTAAGACATATGTGTCCATTCGACCCAATATTGGAGAGGTCAACTGTAGATGAAAAACTGACCATTTCTGGACGCTACAGCGCATTTGATAATTTCAGCTTATGTTATAAAGTCACGTAAGAACTTCGAGGAAGTTGACCTTTATTCACAGTGAGGATTGCAGGAGTCTCGCATGAGACCTTGAGTGAGAATGTTATGTTTTCTTGTACGGTAATGAGAAGACATTTGATGGTTTAAAACTCTAAATGGAGGTCGATTGCTTCACATCACCAGGTAAGCAGTTCCATCATTTTGGGGCCATCACAGCGAATGCACAATCACCATGGCATTTGAGCTTGGTTCTTGACACCACCAGCAGTTCACCATCAGCATAGCACAATGATCGAGATGGAACATGTCTCCAAAGAAGCACTGATATTTAAGGAGGAGTCATACCTGCCAGCGAATGGAAAATTAAAACCAGAATTTTAAATTCAATGCACTGCTTCACAGGTAGCCATTTCAGTGCATGCAGAGTCTGTGATATATGATCACACTTCTGCAGCCCAAAGATGAATCTTGCCGCAGAGTTTTGAAGCATTTCTAGACAACGCTATCATATTTAGTCCGGTGTACAGGGAATTACAGTTGTCAAGTCTACACACGAGAGCATGCATCACAACCTCCAGGTTCTGATGTGAGAGCACTTGCTTTATCCTAGAGAAAGTCTTAGCTGGAAGAAATAAGATCTCACAACTGAATTTACCTGGGAGTCCGTTGTCAGGGTGGAATCTACCGTAACACCAAAGTCAGTGATCAGTCTTCTCAAATTGAGCCAATGATAAGAGTTCCAGACCATCTAACTAAAAAAAACTTTAGAGAAAATTATGACCTCAGTTTTATTGTCCCTAAGGCTCAAGACATTCGAGGCTATCCAAGCACATGCCTCACTCAGGCACTCCAAAGGCTGAAGCATTCTTGGTGACCCAATTCATTGGCAAGTAAATCTGGAAGGTGTCTGCATATAAATGAAAATGAACACTGTGCCTTAAAAAAACATTCCCGGGGAAAGTCGGTAGATAGAAAATAGTAGATAGCCCAGAAGAAATCCCAGAGGCACCCCCCATTATAATGAAGCAGGGAAGCTGAAGACAAGTACATGAATTTAGACACATCATGACCTTTGTACAAAAAATTACACAAGAAAACCCATTGTAACTTACTTGGTTGTGGACCTCACCAAATTGGCTTAATTCCTGGGCCTGCCTCTGTTACAACCCGTCTAGGAGGGCCAGGCTGTAACATCAAAATGGTTCCATCTTCCACCAATTCCAAACCACCACACCAGAATTCCGAGTACAATAATTTATTATAATAAAATAATTTCTTCACAAGATCAAGGTGCTGAACTAAGGACGAGGGAGGATTAATAACTCAGGGTGAACCATCAGCAGTCCCACTTCACAGTCTTGGAGGGACTGCAACTTATTTACCAACTGCTTAAGATGTGGCCATTGAAGTGCTGTGTCTTTTGTAGGTATGTGGGACTTATCCACTGGGATGAAATCCCTAGTGTAGATTTGTCACGGTTTATCAGGTGTTTCTAATGCAAACCCTCTGATCTCTAAACCACACGCAACTTTACTTGAGATGATAGTATCTACTGCTGTCATTGTGCTGAGCTTCAACTGAACTGGCAGAGTACTCACACTTAGTTTAGAGACTAGGCTTTCCAAGATAAAACTTGTATCACTCAGAGTATCCAATAAAGCTTAAGTAAGGATTTCCTTCTTTGGCTCATCTGCAGCTGCCACAAAAACTGGAACAATACTAGAAGTAGCAGAAGAAAACCGTGTCAATGTGTGAGACATGACATGCTGGATGTCCCTAGCATCATCCCCAACACCTGTTAAATTGCTATGAGATACTTTTGTATTCTCCCAGTTTCTCTGTATTTGTAGACATGTTGGATGGTGTCTGCTACATACGCTACAGGTGAGTTTCTGCCTACAATCTTTAGTTATGTGCCCCTTTCTTAAAGAACCAAAACAAAGCTGATTGTCATAAATAAAAGTCTTCTTCTCATCAACAGTTCTTACTGAAAAAAATCAGGCATCTACTCACTCCATGCTTTTCATCTTGACAGACTAAACAGGATGGCTTGAGAAAATTTGAACCCGAGGTGGGAGGCTCAGTTTGAACAGTAGTATTGAGGATGGCGAAATCCTTCACACGAGGCATGGCAGCAGCACAGCCCTGTAGAAAATCTGCAAATTCTCTAATGGCAAAAGGGTAATTTCCAGCTAATTAGGGCCACCTGCTAAGTTTGTCCCTGAATGCCCTTTGGATAATAAAACAACGTCCATACCTTTGTTGAAGGACTGGCCAAGCTCCTTTATATGCATCATCTGAATTCCTAGTAAATAATCCTTCCACTGCCTTGAAGGCCTCACCCGCTACGCATTTCTTTAAGAACAGCATTTTTTCACAGGCAGGGAGTGGTTTTTGATCAATCATGGCCATAAAAGAAACTCTACAATCTATAAACTGTAAAGTATCACCCATGAAGACTGAAGCTTCAGGAATGGGTTAACAACTTAAAATAAACAAACTTGCAAAGTTCCTCAGCAAGATGGATCTGTGAGTTTTGTGACTCCTCT